AAAATGAGACAAATGAACTTAATTTACAAAACAGAGACAGACTCAGACACAGAAAATAAACTTGTGGTTACCAGGGGAGAAAGGGGGGGATGGAGGGATAAATTGGGAGTTCAGGATTTGCAGATACTAATTACAATATATAAAAAAGATAAACAGCAAGGTCCTACTGTACAGCACAGGGAACTATATTCAATACCTTCTAATAGCCTATAATGAAAACGAGTATGAAAAGGAATATATATGTATAACTGAATTACTATGCTGTACCCCAGAAATTAACACATTGTAAACCAACTATACTGCAAAAATAATTAAACTAAAAAAAACCCTAAAATACACCAAATGTCAATGAGGGCAGCTTATTTTAATACGCCTTCCTAATAAGTATTAATGCTACTTAAAATATATTGCTTCAAAGATTATCATTACCAAACTGCTCCAGCAAAATTCTAACACTTGTAAAGTCAATGAAAAGCAAGAATACTAAAGCATGAAAGACTCATCACTCCAGAGAAATGATTCGACAGTGAGGTTATTGTAAAGGACGTTTAATCCACTAGAGGGCAGCCACGTTCAGCAAAAAAAAAAAACCCCAAAAACACAACCACCAGCAAGCTTTAAAAAGATAGCTAAAAAACACAGCTGTTGACTTAATATGCAATGCCAATTCAACCAGCAATTGGGAAAATTACAGACCAAATTAAATTTTATGAGTTTAACATTTCTTTGGGTATTAATTATTTTGGCTGTGGAAACCAGTAAACTGGAAGAGTTTTTTTCTCTTCGTACACATTAGTGCAGTGAAATCTGATAAATAAGAAAATCAGACATCTATCGAAAATGATATATGGGGAATTACCAAGTAATTTTAGAGCACAACAGAAAGTATCTGAATCAGAAGAATACTATAAAAGAAAGCTTCTAGATACTTAGATTGGATTAGTAAAATTTGATGCTAGTTCGGTGACAGGAAAAACTTCTTTCTGTAAGAAGTTAGTTTTCCTTTAGCGGTAAATTCTTCTAAATTGAAATAAATATAAATCCATCCTTAATTAATATTTGAATGCACACTGGGGCACAGCTTGTACTATATGTTAGGAATTTTGACTTAGCTTCTAAAAGCTGAGAAATTATTCGGAAGATATATTTGCTCAATTTTAATCAGATTTTCTTTCCTTTAAAATTTTATATTAACAAACAATAAAATATAATAAAGTGGAGGAAATAAAATTTTATATTTACAAAGATTCTAATCTACTTGATTTTTTTTGCTTATTGATTTGTCTCCAAATGAAATGTTTTAAGGGTTTCCTATTTTAAATTTATTTTCCAAATACACTTATGACTTCATAATTCTCACTATGAAATACACACAATAGGTCACGACACTTTTTAAAACATGATAGCAAAATAGGTAACTATCTTGAGAATCAGCTTAAGGCCACATGACAAAATAATTAATTATATTAATTATCTGTGTGTGTGTGTGAGACTAGCAAGCTTATATAGCAAGCAGATACTACCATATATTTCAAAGACAAGCTACTCGTAACCCACTGGGAAGTATATGCAGGATACTTAGAATTTTATCTTCTGGGATAACTATAAGCTAATTTTTCTTACGTGGCAAAAACTAGGATAACTACCGCCTGCTTCTCTAGTTATCAATATTACCTTACAGATTTTAGAATGATGGACTCACAAGAATAATGGGCTTTTTTACTTTGCAGTAATCAACAAGTATTTATGTCAGGAAAAAAAGAAAGCATCAGATTTTCAAAAATTAAAGTGAAAAATCACGAAATCTCTTTTCAGGATTAAACTATTATATAATCACACGCCTTAATATAATAAATTAATGAAACAATATTACAATGCAGTTTCAATACTGTTTCAGCCATGTGTTCTAAGAGATAATGCAAAATTAAAGAATAATAAAAATTATGATTAATACTTGAAATTCAGGTCCCCTAAAAACACTCAAAAATGGCATCTTTAAAAAGTATTTAACCCTATTACTTATAATAATGTTTTCCCACATATTTCTCTTCTATAATGGATAAACGAATTCTTAAATTAAATTTGCTCATCTATAAAATATCTTCTTTTGAATTAAATTCACTTCCTTGAGGATAACATCCACTCAAGGGCTCATTTCTGAAGAGAGAGAAAATAGGTTAAAGGCTTGAGTAATAGAGGCAGCTCTCCTGCGGACATGTCAATTTCGTCAGTCACTTTGGTATCCAATTTAGGGACCCATTTGCCCACTCATCTACCAAGGGCCTGATGTCAGGATTCCATTTTTACAAATGGGGTCTTCCATCATACTGTGTGTGTGCATTTACCATTACATTTGGCTTTTAAAAGTTATTGTTAAGGATACTATGTAATTTTGGTTTCCTTGCATTTTGATCTGCATAGTTAATTCACTTCCTGAGCTTTTCAGATTCATGCTATCATTAGGCCAGACTGTTCTGCACTGAAAAGATTTGCATTCAGTGTAAATGTGTTTAGCCTTAAAAGGGGAGGAGGGGTATGTATTCTCCTCTTCTATTTAATCATTCAATGCCAGTCACTAAGAGTGCAGATCACACCCCATTATGAAACCCCTTCCTTCCCAAGGGACTGACACCAAAATGGAAATATTCAGCTACCTTTCGTCTCACAAGTGATTATCACACCACATACTTCTTGTATACAGAGCTCTACATGGTACTAGTCTCCTTTGTTCACCCTCCACACCTCTCCAAGTCAGCTTGCTTTTTTTTAATTTGAATGATTTTATGTTGTGATGCGAGCATTAAAACAGGTCCCAAAAATAATTTTTAAAAACTGGGCTGACACACACAGGTAAAGAGCCAGCTCTGTTTGACTAAAAGTGCAATGGAAAAAAATTTATCATAAGTGCTTCTAAGTATTTGAAAGTGTTAACCTAGTAAGAATATATATGGAAACAAATCTATATTCTGGGGGGTTAGATGGAGGCATTAGGGATGAGGACACAGTGATCTGTAAGCTTCTCAAAAGGAAGGAAACAATGAAAGAACAGTAAGTAAAGCAGTG